AAAAAAAAAAAAAAAAAAAATTCTCTATTGACCAAGGCCATCACCCCCAATGCAAAGAGCAGGAATTTTTTTTACACCTTATCAAACTGCTGTTTGCCTTCCTCTTGGTTTTGGCACCAAAAAAATTTTTCTTCAAAAAGCAAAGTGGTACTTCTGAGCGACTTCAAAAGCCTTGTGCACAGCGGTTAGACAGCTGCACATGATATGGTGATAACCTGGCTTCTCACTGCACCCGATTACGTTGCATTCATGAGCATGGTAAAAATATTGCTTTTTGTCATGTATTGTAAATGTACTTTGATCTAAAAAATCCCTAGAAAAAGTGAACTTCTGGTCCGAAAGTGCAATTAAGCAGGTGCGATTTAGACACAGCTTACAGTAAAAATACTAAATGGGACATGGACTTCAGAAAGTGAATGTTACAGCCAAGAGTATGTTTTAAACCAGGTATGTTATACCGAGGTCTTACAGTATTTGAGTCAAAGAGTTAAGACTAATACAAAAATATACCCACCAAAAAGGGTTTCAACGTTTTTGTCCTGCACATTTTTAAAAGTTCACAAATAAACATGAATTATTTTTCTAACACATGTACCCAATTTACAGTGACAGTGGTTTTCTTTTCCATTTTTACGTTAAGATGAGCTTTTAGATTTCTTTTGAAGTTTTCTAAATCAGTGACAGATCTTAGCTCATTAGGCAATGCATCCCATACGGATGGCCAGAGAAAGCCAAGTTCCTAAAACTGAGGTTATAAAGATTCTTTATACAAAGTTCAAATAATTCAACTGGTCCCTGCAAAGATTTACCATCCTCCCTCTTTCTCTTCATCTCCCAAGAATACATTCTCCCAAATACAAAAGTGAAAATAAACATACATACAACTCCATCAACTAACACATTTTTTACTCTGTACAAATGCATCTCTGTCACACAGATGTCTACATTACTCATCTTCTTTTTACCCATTTTTCTTTGGTTCACAAATAAGCATCAGTTGTTATTCCTCACACATGTACCCAGTGTACAAGGCCAATCAAATCCAATCGAATTGAATCAGGGTAGCCATATTTACCTCCATGGAAAGGCAAAAGCTACCATTTGAGAACAATGCATCTGATTTAACTCACAACTTTGAAAAACAAGCATGTTTGGTTTTTGAAGGTCACATTCAAATTGGGAAATTGGGTCAAATTGTGCCAAAATGGAAGCTGTTGTCCTTCATGGAGACAAATCTGGCTGGCACCCACTGAATAAAATTCGATTGGCAGTGTGCACTGGTTCTGATAAAGGAGTTGTTTTGTTTTTTTCTTCTACTTATTAAACATGTCTCTTTTTCCATTATCTATAAGGACAAGCTGTATAAGTTCTCTTTGCCATAGCATGTTCTCTCATACACTAGTAACGGTTCTCTTATACTTCCAGCTCACTTTCAAAAGTCATCAATGGAGCTGCAGCTCAGTCAAATTTATATATACCATCACAAATATAATAAAGTAAACTTACGACTGGAGATCCAAAAGGCACATACCCTGCAAAGAAGTAAAAATAACTCTTCTTAACTGGACATTTTACACAAAAATAGCGTAATAATGTAATTAAATCTGTTCCTTCTAAGTAAACTAACATATGATATAAATCAACAATCACTGTAGTCTCTGTATAAGACCCAATCGCTCACGATCCCTGTTCACTCTTAAGATTCTGCGGTATTAAGAACACAGAATTCTTACAACACAAAAGTTATCTGTAAGATCCTCCTCTAAGGGGACTAAATTCAATTAAGATCTCACATTTCAGATCACAATTTACTGAACAAAAATCAGGATAATGCATAGCTGATCAACCAAGCACCAAACTTTGCGATCATTGTACTGCTCACCACGTCTCAGATCATCCACCCTTGTGAATGCTATGATATGATCATATCTTCTTTTAAAATCTCAATGAGTGGGTAAGTCCACAATGTTTCCCCTTGACAGGATCCCACCAGTTTGTAAATTCGTCCATGAATTTGTTTCCCCCAACATCACACTCGCATTTTAGCCCTCGTCCTGAACTGACATCACACACTGGGTGATTAGGGCCTTCAAGGCCAGGTCAGATGGGATCACATCAAACTTTGAACTCGCCCATGCTTTTGTTTCCCTGACCATTGCATTTGTCTTTGATCTCAACGCCTGAACTTGCTACACGGACTGGTGCCACAACATGAGAAAGGAGCTCAGAAAGAGATACATTTTGGACAGGTTAAGGGGAGGAGCAATGGGATCGACCTAGATCTAGATCTTGAGACTCACAATTGGATAATGAAAAATAATGATAATAACAATTAGTAGATTTGTAGAGCACCCACTCTCCAACTGGACTCAAGGCGCTTTACATCAATAATATAATGAAATCAGTCATTCAAGCGACATCCGAGCTCGTAAAATGATTCACTTTCATCAGTACACTGTACACACATGTAAGGCTAACACACGCAAGCAGTCATACTACACACACAAAAACCCACTTGCACATAGACAAGCACAAGAGTGCACACACGATCACTTAACCTTCCTTATACATCAAAGTGAACAAACTCATCTCAGCTTACAATGATTGAAATGGCAGGACAGTGGGGGGGG